ATGCGCCGCGTACCTGACCGCAAACGGCCACAGAAAATGGGGGGCAGCCGCATGCATCATAGACGTACGAGCGACGTCCATGACCATGCCAATGCGGCGCTCTGCAATCCCATTTTGCTGCGGTGAGTCCGGAAGCGTGAAGGTCTCGCGGATGCCTCGCGCACGACAGAAGGCACGCAGAAGGCCAGAGGAGAACTCTCCGCCTCTGTCCGAGTGCAGACGCAACACAGGAAAGTCCGAGCCAAAGCTCCTCCTGAGCTGGAGACGAGCTGCGCGGATCCAGTCGATCAGCACCTCAGTGACATCACCCTTGCTGCGCAAGGGGAAGACTGTGGTGTAACGCGAGTAGTCGTCAACCACCAACAGGAAGTAGCGCTCGTGACCGAGTCCACGGACGCGGGCAGGGCCCCACACGTCCATGTGAAGCGTCTGCAACGGAGCCTCTGTCGGAGGAAACTGGGAGGAGTGAGGGGCAGCACGCTGGCGCCCCTCCACACAGGGGACACAGGCAGTGCCAGGGCCCTAAGGAAGGGGAGGGAGGGACCGGGGGAGACCAGAAACAAGAAGACGGGTGGCCATGCCTCTGAGCCGATGCAGAGAGGGGTGGCCAAGGCGGTGGTGCCAGAGGAGAGTCTCGTGAGACAGACGGCGACACGAACAGGGGGCAGACTCAGGACCAGACCTGGACGCTGCAGCAAACACCTGACCAGACGAAGGGATTCTACCAGACTCAGCACCGGGAGGAGAAGCAGTGGTCAGTGTGTACAGGCTCGACCCTGGCTGACGTGTAAACGTAGCCAGGTGGCGACCTGTGCTAGCCTCTGTGCAGTGTGTCACCCGGTGACGAGCAGGAGTGAACTGGTGGACACCCACATCCTGTAGGTCAGCACCACTCACCAGGTTCGTAGAGAACGAGGGGAGGTAAAGACCAGTCAGGGTGCCAGAGGGAGCCGCCGGACACGGGAGGACTGTGGAGAAACGAGACAGGACAGGACCCCCAGAGGGGTCAGCCAGGGAAACCGCAACAGGCCGACTAAGCGGCGTGAGAGTGGTGCGGTCCCGAAAGAAGGAGCGAGACGCCCCAGAGTCAAGGGTGAAGGTGTGAGAGGCAGAAGCCGACACAGTACCTGAGAGGGCAGACTCACTAGCACCTGAGAGCACAGACGCACTGGCACCTAGAGCAGCAGCCTCACTGGCACCTGACACTGCAGTACCAATGCCCGGGTCAGGCGGGAAACACCGGTAACAGTCACCATCATCACTAACAGTCACAGCATACATGGCAGCAAGGATAGCATCAAAGTCAAGATCAAACACAGCTACACCAGCCCTAGACAGCTCTCCCCAGCGGGGGATCTCAGAGGCCTCCGGAAACTGCTGGCGCCAAGCGTCGGTCAAGCGGGCAAAGCAGCGGCGAGCGGTGTGGGTGCCCCCACACTGCTCACCCGCGCGGTCGCCGGTGCGAAGGACGTAGGCGCAGGGACCGAACGCCCCACCACGCTGACGCTGCGAGTACCACTCACGGAGCTGCTGAGGGGCGGGGACGTCGCGAGAGCGCTGCTGCTGCTGCTGCTGCTGCTGCTGCTGCTGCTGCTGCTGCTGCTGCTGCTGCTGCTGCTGCTGATGCTGCTGCTGCTGTTGGCGCTGACCACCCCCAGTGCTGCTCCTCTGGGACGAGCCACTCCGACCACCTCCACCACCGCCACCCCCGCCTCCGCCGCCACCGCCGCCACCGCCACCCTCGCCCCCGCCGCTCCCACTGCCTCCTCCGCCACCACCTCCGCCGCCACCTCCGCCTCCACCGCCGCCACCAGTACCTCCACTCCCACCTCCACCCCCACTGCCACCCCCACTCCCCCCGCCGCCCCCACCTCCTCCGCCACCGCCCCCGCTAACTCCACCCACTCCCTTGCCCCCCTTGCTCCTGCCAGAGCGGCGCCTACCGCTGGGGGCAGACGCCGCACCGACCGACTCTAAACCAACGAGGTCGGCCGCAGCAGCAGAGGCGACAGAGGGGAGCAGGGGGGAAGGAGAACACCCCTCAAAGATGGGGGTGCGCGGGTCACCACGAGAGGCCCCTACAGCGACTATGCTCTTCTCGGCCGCTAGCAGGGACTTCTCGAGGAGGTCGACAGTGAGGGTGGTGGGACAGACAGAGAGAAACTGGTCCCTAACAGCACGAAGGGACTCAGGGAGACGGGTGACTAGAAAGTAGAGGGTGATGTACATGGGAGGGGGGTTTTCGGCGAGGAAGGCAGCAGGAAGCGCAGCTTGGTAGCGAGTGTCGCTAGCGCGAAGGTGGGTAAAGAGGTCAGTGACTGTGGGAAAGGCAGCAAGGTCAGGGAAGAGGTACGGTAGCATGAGGCGGCTCAGTGTAGCAGTGGAAGGGGAGGAGTAGCGTGCAACTACAGCGTCGTACAAGGCCTGAGCGGTCTTGCACTGACTAAAGTGTGCACGCTCGGAGGAAGGGAGGTGGCGACGCACAGCAAGACGTGCAGCAGCATCGCGTGTGGCCCACTTGGAGCGAACAGTGGGGTCAGCATCAGCAGGAGGGGCAGGGACAGCGCCAGAGACAAAGTCAAAGAGAGAAACCTCATCGATCGCATCGCACAGTAAGTACAGCTGCAGGTCCTCAATCCAGACTGCAAAGTCAATGGCGCGACCCTCAGCGTCAAAAGCCAGGACACTCGGGGTGGCCACTGTAGCAGCTGACAATCTCACCGGGCAGGAAGAGTCGGGAAGCACAGCGGCACAGCAACACGGCAGCACAGCAGCTGCGCCGGCCCAGGAGCAGCAGCAGCCCCACAGGAGCAGGAGCTCGGCACCTCAGGTTGCTCGGGCGGCTCGGGCGGCTCGAGCGGCTGGGGCGGCGCGGGCGGCTCGGGCTCGGGCGGCTCGGGCGGCTCGGGCGGCTCGGGCGGCTCGGGCGGCTCGGGCGGCTCGGGCGGCTCGGGCGGCACAGGCGGCTCGGGCGGGTCTGCTGCACGGGCGGCTCGGACGGCTCTGCTGCACGGGCGGCCCGTTCGGCTCAAGTGACGCGGGTGGCACGGGTGGCGCGGGCGTCGCGACGGGCGGCTCGCTGGCGGCTCGCGGGCGGCTGCACGGGCGGCTCACGGGCGCCCGCGGGCGGCTGCACGGGCGGCTCACGGGCGGCTGCGGGCGGCTGCACGGGCGGTTCACGGGCGGCTGCACGGGCGGTTACGGACGGCGGCCTGGGCGGTCGCGGGCGGCTCACGCTGGGCGACTGCACGGGCGGCTGCACGGGCGGCTGCACGGGCGGTTCGTCGGGCGGCGCACAGGCAGCTCACAGGCAGCTGCACGGGCGGCGCGTCGAGCTGCTGAGGGCGACGCACGGGCGGCGCACGGGCGGTGCGAGGGGCGGCTCGCGGGCGTCGGGCGCTAGGGCGCTAGGGCGACGACGGGCGGCGCTCAGGCCTTAGGGCGGGCGGCCGTCAGGTTCTAGGGCGGGCCGCGCTCGAGCTCTAGGGCGGGCAGCGCGCGGGCGCTAGGGCGGGCGGCGCTCAGGCTTTAGGGCGGGCGGCCGTCAGGCTCTAGGGTGGGCCGCGCTCAGGCTCTAGGGCGGGCAGCGCGCGGGCGTTAGGGCGGGCGGCGCGCGGGCGTCTAGGGGCCGTTAGGGCAGATCGAAAAAAAAAGGAAGTAAGAGGGCCCGGAGCGCGCTCCGGGCAGAAAAAAAAAGTTACGAGGTAGCGGAGGTGGGCCCTAAGAACAGTTCCCACAGGGGAACCTGCTCGATACCATGAGAAGAAGTGAATGAGAATGAAATGACTATGAACGAAGTGAGTACAAATAGGAAACCCTAATTGTGTTGTACCCCCTATGGGATACCCCACTATAGCCTACACAAATAAGCAAGCTATATGTTCTGACAAAGTTGACCTGACATACTGTCCAACGGGTGACATGGCAGCAGACTTCCTTACGAAGAAACTGCCGCGTCAGCAGTACCAGCACTGCTCCAAACTCAGCGGGGTAGTCAAGCGGGTCAATGCTCGCTACAGCCAGGAGTGAAGGGGGGTGTTACGAATAGTGGTTAATGAAAAACACTGTTACGCACTCCTTACCGTAGCAAAGCCGAAGCACGCACTATCAAGAGTGAAGACGAAAAGGCAGAAGAAAGGCGAAGGGACATACGGTTACGAGGAGCATCTGGACCGTCGGGCAGACATCATCAGGCAGCAACAGTGGCGAGGATTCTGCCCGAGCAGTTACGTAACCACTCGGAGTTGCACGGTTGGATTTCGCCGCAATAAGGGAATGTACCCCTTAGAGTACATGGCTAGTTAGGTCGTTTCGAATTCCCCTGTCCTCATATTTATATTCCTTGTAGTGCACGTTTTTATTATCTCAAGCATTTACATTCACTCTGCTATTGAGGTCAAGGGCCCACCACCACTAGACTAGAATTGTGCGAACCTTCCTGAGGTGATCATGGTTACGATCACTTTCTGATCCAACACAGGGCGGTTTTCCTTTCCCGCTCGAAAATTGCCCAGTTCGACTGTCCAGGTGCATGCAGTGTCGGGTGACATTTCGGGACGCGTGCGATTTCCGCAAGGTGACGGGGCCTCGTGTAACTCGTCCGCGACACCCCCGCAATTCCCGCCAACCAATGTAAAATACTGTGTGGATCGAAGTAATGCGGTCCGAGTTTGTGACACACTACGTTATATGCTGTTTTTCGGTGTCACAAAGGGTTTGAGACACAAGTTTCTCCACAGGAACGCACCCTAAGAATCTAGGCAGCAAGCAGCAATCCAACTACATCTGCAGGACTGATATTGAACTGAACTACACCGCATCACCCCCACACCTCCCACTTTCCCCTGCCCTCAGTTCAACCAGCCACTCACCACCATGCATGCATCACCCTCACCCACCAGAAATGCGCAATCAAAGCTAGAATTTGTACTGTACTGTCACCCATCCACACACAGATCTCCGTGAATCACAACCGTCGTATGCGGCGCCTATTGCGGCAAATGCGATTAGGTCAATTACCGGCTTTCGTAAATCCCCTCGCCTTGTTGCGCCTGGATATAACGCGTATCTTCTCCGCTTGCGCGAGTCCTGGTTCCGTCCACCCGCACCACGCATTCGTGCTTCCGCCAGCTGCCCGTTGCCCCTCTTCGCTTCCCCAGATGCTTCCGCAAGGGCATCCGCCCCGCGCCCTTGCGCAGGGCTCCGCGCACCTATCCGCACTGCACGTCCCTCCACGTGTTCGTACGCATGTCCCGCCAACATCCGTCATATTCACCAACCCCGCGATTCCGTTAGTAGCTCTCCCGTTAACGGTATCGCTTAAGTCACCCCAACTCTCTTGTCATAACCGCAGCGACCTAGGGGTAACCAGATTTAGAACGAATAGGTTAGACCTAAGATTCAGCAGCATTTTCGGGTCAGATAGTCTTAGGCAAAATGGTTTTAGCCAAACCAGTTGCAGACAGGGCGGTTCAGGGTTTCGGGTTTTATGTGCCAGCCGGCAGGATGGCCCGTTACAGAGAGGCAGATCTTATGGGCGACAGCGTTTGTCGGATGCGGCTGCTGACGTGGACGCGTCGGAAAGCGTTGACGTGGATCCTTTTTTTGCAAAGCGACAGGAGGTTTGGAAACGGTGGGTGGGGAAGAGCAGTCCGGCCGGCAAGAGGGAAACCGCAGGATCGGACGATACCGAAGCTCCTCGTCAGGGTCGTACGAACGCCGAACCTCGGAAGCAGGCTCGGGACAGGCCGGGTAGCCAGGTCGTTCGGAATGGCAGATCAAACCAATGGGAGCAAGGAGGCGGTGACGAACAAGCGGCACGTGGCGTATCCTCGAGAGACTCGAGATCCTCGCGGCGAGACCCGTCCTCGTTAACTGGTGCTTCGTTACAAGCTCCGTGGGAGTCTGCAGCGCCAGGAAGGGGATCAAGAGGTCCGGCGGAGGAGGGCAGCAGGGGGAGTTACCGGGGGGGCGGGAGGGACGGAGGGGAGAGACGTGGACGTGGGGACGACAGAGGGGCGGAGCGAGACGGATACGCGGCTTATGGGGATGTGGTGCAGCGAGGTAGTTACGCGGGGGGGAGAGAGGGCGGTTATGGCGACGATCGGGGGCCGGAGCGAGGCGCATATGAGGCGTATGGGAATGTGATGGGGCGAGGTAGGTACGGGGAAGGAAGAGAGCGTGGATACAGTGGCGAGAGTGGGCGTAGAGGGACGGCTTTTGAGTCGACTCGTAGGTCATATGGGGATGTGAGGGGGCGAGGTAGCCCTGGGGAGGCGAGAGAGCGCAGTTACATTGGTAAGGATGGTCGTAGAGTGGAGGGGGAGAGGGAGCGGCGGAGGGGAGAATGGGAGGGGAGGGAGGGGAGGGAGGGAGAGAGTTGGAGGGGAGAAATGGAGGAGCTTGAGGGGGAGAGATGGAGGGGAGGAAGGGAGGGGGGTGCGGGGGAGAGGAGGCGGACAACTAGAGAAGGGAGCAGGTGGCAAGGGGCGCATGGGGGTGGAGGGTTCAACAAGGGTTCAGGCGAGGTTGAAGGTTTAGGGAGAAACCAGGGAAGGGTTTTAAGTTCCCAATCTAACAGGGAAATTGCAGGGTCGGACGGGGACGGATATGAGGACGAGCTGTTTGGGTGGTCGTCCGCTGCTGATGACTTGGAGGCACAGCTGCAGAGGGAGGAGCGGCGATCCGTGTATGTCCCGAGGGGGCCCAGAGGCGTGCAGCAGCAGCAGAGACAGAGGAGTGGGGAGGGGGACAGGTATGAGGACGAGCTGTTTGGGTGGTCGTCCATTGCTGATGACTTGGAGGCACAGCTGCAGAGGGAGGAGCGCCGGTCCGTGTATGTCCCGAGGGCCCCAAAAGGCCCGCAGCAGCAGCAGAGGCGAGCACAGCGGGAGCAGCAGCAACACCAGCAGCAACAGGAACCGCAGCAGCAACACCAGCAGCAACAGGAACCGCAGCAGCAGCAGGAGGAGAAGGAGGAGGGGGAGGGGGAGGTGGAGGGGCAGGAAGGACAGTATGTGGATGCGCTATCCAGACAGCAGCGGCAGCAATGGCAGCAGCAGCAGCAGTGGCGACAGGAGCAAGAGCAGCGGCAGCGACAGCAGGCAGAAGTATCAACATCACTCTCCTCCTCTCTCTCCTCCTCTCTCTCCTCCTCTCTCTCCTCCTCTCCTCCCCCCTCTCCCTCCTCTCCTTCTTCCACTGCTTCTGAAAGACAAAACTGGCTGGGCCTATCCGGACGGAAAAAGCCGCTCTCCGCCGCCCAGAAGGACCAGTTCTTCAACGTCGCGCCGCCCGAAGGCGATCCCGAAATCGCCCCTTTAGATCCGCACTTCCCCTTCCAATACAGCTACTCCGAGACCCCCTCCACCCCCCCCATCGGTTACCGCGAGCCCCCCTTCTCCCCCTTCGGCCCCGCTACCATGTCCCGCCCCTGGACCGGGCGCGCCCCCCTCAAAAAGGCGAAAAAAGGTGGCGGGGCGGGGAATTTACCCCGGGTGATTCCGGAGTTTGACTCGTTTGTGGCGCCGAGGCGGAAGAGGGGGATGAAGGGCGTGCAGCCCCCGGGGCCGTTTGGGGAGGGGGAGGGGCCGCGGTATGTGCGGACACGAGAGGAGGTGCTGGGGGCGCCGCTGACGAGGGAGGAGGTGGAGGAGATGGTTGCAGACTGCAATAAGGGGCGAAGACAGGTGAACCTAGGTGAGCCTGAGTGTGGGTGGGTGTGGTGGGGTATGGTTGAATCGTGGCGCTTGGGAAGTGCAGAGGCAGATTCACAACATGCTAGAGCTCATTCACATGCACTGGAAGCGGCGGCGGTGCGTTCTTTTCCCTCTCTCATAGCTCTTCCGCCCCTCCCATCACCTTCCCATACTCCATAACAGGTCGAGACGGGCTGATCCACAACCATTCACACGCACTGGAAGCGGCGGCAATGTGTTCTGCTCCCCCTGTCATAGCTCTTTCGCCCCTCCCATACCCCTTCACCCCCATCACAGGTCGAGATGGGCTGATCCACAACATGCTGGAGCTGATTCACACGCACTGGAAGCGGCGGCGGTGCGTGAAGGTCAAGTGCAAGGGCGTGCCCACCGTTGACATGGACAACGTGTGTCACGTGGTGGAGGTGCGTGGGGTGTGGAGGGATGGAATGCGGTTTCATGGGTGTGTGAAGGTGCATTGGTGCAAGGGCGTGTTGACCGTTGACATCCACACCCCATGGACAACGTGTGCTGACCGTTGACATCCACACCCCATGGACAACGTGTGCTGACCGTCGACATCCACACCCCATGGACAACGTGTGCTGACCGTTGACATCCACACCCCATGGACAACGTGTGCTGACCGTCGACATCCACACCCCATGGACAACGTGTGTTGACCGTTGACATCCACACCCCATGGACAACGTGTGTTGACCGTTGACATCCACACCCCATGGACAACGTGTGCTGACCGTTGACATCCACACCCCATGGACAACGTGTGTTGACCGTTGACATCCACACCCCATGGACAATGTGTGTTGACGCGGGGCAAGGGCGTTCAAGGGCGTGCTGACCGTCGTTGAGGTGCGTGGGGTGTGTTGACACACCGGCGGGATGTGGTAGGCAGGGCAGCACGCTCTACGTGTTCCGCATGCGCAACTACATGCCTACGCCCGCCTGCGCCCGCGCCTGCCTCTCATGCTCCCGCTCACGGCGACTTGTTCCCACAGCGGCTCCTTCCCTCCCTGCTGTGCTGCTGTTTTTAGGAGAGTCTTACATTGCTACTATGCTCTTCTGTTGCCATTCCCTGCGAATCCACCAGGACAAGCCAGGTGGAAGGATCATCAAACGACAGGGCGGCACCCTCTACGTGTTCCGATGGCACAACTACAACTACCGCCTGCGCCCTCCCCTGCTCTCTCTTCTCTTCTCCCTGTTCTTCCGCACCCAAGCAGGACAAGACGGGAGGCAGGATCATCAAACGACAGGGCGGCACCCTCTACGTGTTCCGCGGGCGCAACTACAACTACCGCCTGCGCCCGCGCCTGCCGCTCATGCTGTGGAAGCCCCCTGCGCCCATCTATCCCAAGCTCATCCAAGACGCGCCTGGGGGGTTGACTCTGAGGCAGGCTCAAGAGCTAAGACGCATCGGCAGGAAGATCAAGCCACTCTGCAAGCTGGGTACGTGCATGCGTGCATACAGCCTCACACACACACACAGACGCTCTCACCTGCACCGCTCTAACCTTGAGGCAGGCGCAGGGGCAGCAGCGGCGCACTGGCAGGAAGATCTCGCCTCTGTGCAAGCTGGGCACGTGTGTAGTATGCACATGCTGAGAACATGCTGTTTTTTTAGGCGCCTCAAAGTACGTGTGAATGGACAAGCTACGCACGTGCTGTGTCTATGCCCTTGCCTCTCTCCCCTCACTCAACTCCCACCCTCTCTCTCCTCCTCTGCCCGATCCACCCATTGCAGGCAAGAACGGCATGTACCGCCGGTTAATGGGTGTGGTGAGAGCATTGTGCTGTTCACCCCCCACTAGCTCCACTTCCCCTTCGCCCCCACCCCCCTTCCCGCCCGATCCACTCGTTGCTGGCAAGAGCGGCGTGTACCGCCGGTTAATGGGTGTGGTGAGAGCGGTAAGGGTGTGTGAGCGTCAACTCCACAACCACTCGACCCTCACTGTCTCTCTTCTCTTGCTCCTCTCCCTCCATTCCCGCGCGCCCCCCCCTACCCCCTCCCCTCACCGCAGGCAAGAACGGAGTGTACCACCGGCTGGTGGGCGTGGTGAGGGCGGGGTTTGAGGAGGCGGATCTGGTGCGAGTGGATTGCAAGGGCATGAACAAGAGCGATTACAAGAAGATTGGTGCGAAGCTGCGGGTGAGTGGAGTGTTTGGGAGTTTATGTGTGGTGAGGCCAGTCAAAGGGGTTCGAGGAGGCTGACCATGCGAGTAGGCTGCAAGGGCATGAACAAGAGCGATTACAAGGAGGTTGGCGCAAAGCTAAGAGTGAGCAGGGAAGGTTGATCTGAGGAGGGTTTCTCTGGACAAGGTTCGCCTGGTGCGGGTGGACTGCAAGGGGCATGAACAAGAGCAATTGCAAGAAGATCGGCGCGAAACTAAGGGTGAGCGTTGTTTGTGTTGACAGGTGTGTGCGTGTGTGTGTGTTTGGGGCAATGCTGAGGAAGTTACTTTTGAGTCGACTCAAAAGTCACCTCGTTTGACAGGGGTGTGTGTGTGTGTTTGGGGCAATGCTGAGGAAGTTACTTTTGAGTCGACTCAAAAGGCACCTCGTTTGACAGGTGTGTGTGTGTGTGTGTGTGTGTGTGTGTGTGTGTGTGTGTGTGTGTGTTTGGGGCAATGCTGAGGAAGTTACTTTTGAGTCGACTCAAAAGTCACCTCGTTTGACAGGGGTGTGTGTGTGTGTGTTTGGGGCAATGCTGAGGAAGTTACTTTTGAGTCGACTCAAAAGTCACCTCGTTTGACAGGGGTGTGTGTGTGTGTTTGGGGCAATGCTGAGGAAGTTACTTTTGAGTCGACTCAAAAGTCACCTCGTTTGACAGGGGTGTGTGTGTGTGTGTTTGGGGCAATGCTGAGGAAGTTACTTTTGAGTCGACTCAAAAGTCACCTCGTTTGACAGGGGTGTGTATGTGTGTGTTTGGGGCAATGCTGAGGAAGTTACTTTTGAGTCGACTCAAAGTCACCTCGTTTGACAGGGGTGTGTATGTGTGTGTTTGGGGCAATGCTGAGGAAGTTTCTTTTGAGTCGACTCAAAAGTCACCTCGTTTGACAGGGGTGTGTGTGTGTGTGTTTGGGGCAATGCTGAGAAAGTTACTTTTGAGTCGACTCAAAAGTCACCTCGTTTGACAGGGGTGTGTGTGTGTGTGTGTTTGGGGCAATGCTGAGGAAGTTACTTTTGAGTCGACTCAAAAGTCACCTCGTTTGACAGGGGTGTGTGTGTGTGTGTTTGGGGCAATGCTGAGAAAGTTACTTTTGAGTCGACTCAAAACTCACCTCGTTTGACAGGTGTGTGTGTGTGTGTGTTTGGGGCAATGATGAGGAAGTTACTTTTGAGTCGACTCAAAAGTCACCTCGTTTGACAGGGGTGTGTATGTGTGTGTTTGGGGCAATGCTGAGGAAGTTACTTTTGAGTCGACTCAAAAGTCACCTCGTTTGACAGGGGTGTGTATGTGTGTGTTTGGGGCAATGCTGATGAAGTTTCTTTTGAGTCGACTCAAAAGTCACCTCGTTTGACAGGGGTGTGTGTGTGTGTGTTTGGGGCAATGCTGAGAAAGTTACTTTTGAGTCGACTCAAAAGTCACCTCATTTGACAGGGGTGTGTGTGTGTGTGTGTTTGGGGGAATGCTGAGAAAGTCACTTTTGAGTCGACTCAAAAGTCACCTCGTTTGACAGGGGTGTGTGTGTGTGTTTGGGGCAATGCTGAGGAAGTTACTTTTGAGTCGACTCAAAAGTCACCTCGTTTGACAGGGGTGTGTGTGTGTGTGTTTGGGGCAATGCTGAGGAAGTTACTTTTGAGTCGACTCAAAATGCACCTCGTTTGACAGGTGTGTGTGTGTGTGTGTGTTTGGGGCAATGCTGAGGAAGTTACTTTTGAGTCGACTCAAAAGTCACCTCGTTTGACAGGGGTGTGTGTGTGTGTTTGGGGCAATGCTGAGGAAGTTACTTTTGAGTCGACTCAAAAGTCACCTCGTTTGACAGGGGTGTGTGTGTGTTTTTGGGGCAATGCTGAGGAAGTTACTTTTGAGTCGACTCAAAAGTCACCTCGTTTGACAGGGGTGTGTGTGTGTGTGTTTGGGGCAATGCTGAGGAAGTTACTTTTGAGTCGACTCAAAAGTCACCTCGTTTGACAGGGGTGTGTATGTGTGTGTTTGGGGCAATGCTGAGGAAGTTACTTTTGAGTCGACTCAAAGTCACCTCGTTTGACAGGGGTGTGTATGTGTGTGTTTGGGGCAATGCTGAGGAAGTTTTTTTTTAGTCGACTCAAAAGTCACCTCGTTTGACAGGGGTGTGTGTGTGTGTGTTTGGGGCAATGCTGAGAAAGTTACTTTTGAGTCGACTCAAAAGTCACCTCATTTGACAGGGGTGTGTGTGTGTGTGTGTTTGGGGGAATGCTGACAAAGTTACTTTTGAGTCGACTCAAAAGTCACCTCGTTTGACAGGGGTGTGTGTGTGTGTGTGTTTGGGGCAATGCTGAGGAAGTTACTTTTGAGTCGACTCAAAAGTCACCTCGTTTGACAGGGGTGTGTGTGTGTGTGTTTGGGGCAATGCTGAGAAAGTTACTTTTGAGTCGACTCAAAACTCACCTCGTTTGACAGGTGTGTGTGTGTGTGTGTTTGGGGCAATGCTGAGGAAGTTACTTTTGAGTCGACTCAAAAGTCACCTCGTTTGACAGGGGTGTGTATGTGTGTGTTTGGGGCAATGCTGAGGAAGTTACTTTTGAGTCGACTCAAAAGTCACCTCGTTTGACAGGGGTGTGTATGTGTGTGTTTGGGGCAATGCTGAGGAAGTTACTTTTGAGTCGACTCAAAAGTCACCTCGTTTGACAGGGGTGTGTATGTGTGTGTTTGGGGCAATGCTGATGAAGTTTCTTTTGAGTCGACTCAAAAGTCACCTCGTTTGACAGGGGTGTGTGTGTGTGTGTTTGGGGCAATGCTGAGAAAGTTACTTTTGAGTCGACTCAAAAGTCACCTCATTTGACAGGGGTGTGTGTGTGTGTGTGTTTGGGGCAATGCTGAGGAAGTTACTTTTGAGTCGACTCAAAAGTCACCTCGTTTGACAGGGGTGTGTGTGTGTGTGTGTTTGGGGCAATGCTGAGGAAGTTACTTTTGAGTCGACTCAAAAGTCACCTCGTTTGACAGGGGTGTGTGTGTGTGTGTTTGGGGCAATGCTGAGAAAGTTACTTTTGAGTCGACTCAAAACTCACCTCGTTTGACAGGGGTGTGTGTGTGTGTGTTTGGGGCAATGCTGAGGAAGTTACTTTTGAGTCGACTCAAAAGTCACCTCGTTTGACAGGGGTGTGTGTGTGTGCGTTTGGGGCAATGCTGAGGAAGTTACTTCGTTTGACATGATGAGTCTCTCACACCGTGTAACATTTCTATGTCTGAAAATCAGGCCCTCTCATTGGCCTCGCACTGCACCCTCTTGCCTCCTCTCACCCTCTTGCCTCCTCTCACCCTCTTGCCTCCTCTCACCCTCTTGCCTCCTCTCACCCTCTTGCCTCCTCTCACCCTCTTGCCTCCTCTCACCCTCTTGCCTCCTCTCACCCTCTTGCCTCCTCTCACCCTCCTGCCTCCTCTCACCCTCTTGCCTCCTCTCACCCTCTTGCCTCCTCTCACCCTCTTGCCTCCTCTCACCCTCTTGCCTCCTCTCACCCTCTTGCCTCCTCTCACCCTCTTGCCTCCTCTCACCCTCTTGCCTCCTCTCACCCTCTTGCCTCCTCTCACCCTCTTGCCTCCTCTCACCCTCTTGCCTCCTCTCACCCCTTGCTTCCTCCCCACCTCCTTTCCTCCTCTCACCCCTGTGCCTCTTCTCATCCCCTTCTCTGTGATTGGACCCCACCAGGACCTGGTGCCATGTGTCCTCCTCTCATTCGACAAGGAGCAGATCCTCATGTGGCGCGGGCTGGACTCCAAAGAACCTTCCTCTGAATCTTCCCCCAAAGCTTCCTTTGAAACTTCCACAGTGGCACTGGCAGAAGCAGCCATTGCAGGTTCAGTGGCAGAGGGGGGGGGGAACAATCTGGCAGGAAGTATTTCAGGGGGGTTGGTGGGAGGTGGGAATGTGGGAGTGGAGGCTGGGATGGAAGGAGGGGAGGTGGGAGAGAGGCAGGGAGGTGTGTGGAAGTTTGATGTGGAGGATGAGGGGGAGGTGGAGGTGAGTGTGAGTGTGGATGCAGATGGTGTGATGGTGGTAGGTGGGGAGGAGGGGGAGGAGGAAGAAGGGGAGGGGGAATGGGAGGAGGAAGTGGGTGGTCGGGATGGAGATGATTGGAACGACGAGGAGAGGTGGGGCGTGGAGGGAGGGAGCAGGGATGGAAGCAGCAGTGGTGGCAAGAGTGGGAGCGAGGGAGACTGGCATGAAAGTGACAGAGACACTGACAACGAAAGAGCAAGAAGCCATAATCAAGCAATTTCCCAACGATTTTCTCCAGGCCCCCCTCAAGAATTATCCAAGGGATCATCTCAAAGTGGCACTCAAGGAGAAGGCTCTTCAAGGCATGTGAAGGGTATTGGAAATGGACAAGTGGGCCTGGATACTGCTGTGTCATCTTCCACAGAGAATGGAGATGAAGCGGTCTTCGATGAGTTCGAGGAGCTTTGGGAGAAGGCGACAAAAAGCGGGGAGATAACGCCGCTAGGTGGCTCAAATCTTTGACGTAAATCAAACAAATTTATATTATTCATGTGTTGGGATGTGTGCCATGGTGGGCAGCTGGTTATCACAGATTGGTGATGAATTGAAACGATTGTGCTGGCATATTGCAATATATTGCATCATATGTCCTCAAGCAAGGTATATTGTGGAAGAGGCAAGCTAGTACTACAATGTTTTTGCGAGCTGCTTGAAAGTGTGTACTATTGCATGTGCCGCAGCGGTTCTTATAAAGAACACGCTCGACTGCCTCAGCTGCGCTGTAATTGGCCAGCAATGCTGGCTCATGGCTGGTGATGGACTAGGAGTTCTCGAAGAAGTCTTCCCTCGCGCGCCTACCACAACCACAACCAACCATCATTGCCCATCCCACCTTGGGGTTGGGAACACATCGCTGCGCGACGTACCATACCCTTCACGAACATCTCGCCCTGTCGCAGAACGGGGGTTGTTGGCCAGTATCAGCGGCCGTACTGGTCAGCTGTTTCACACGACCCTTCAAAGCGTCGCACTGGCTCCCGTTACGAAATCTTTTTCCACTCCCGCGGTCGCAGGGTCTCCACCAGTCGTACAGTTTACTCCAATGTTCTACAGTTTCCCTTCCTTCCAGATCTTCCATTCCAAGCCCACCTCCTAATCTACCTTCTGTTGGCAGAAAATTCGAGTTTCAAATTAGTCCCTTCAGAATTGGCTCAGCTTTTGCTTACCATTCTTTCTGATCCAGCCAACCCAGGGTTGCTGATAGAAGATCGGCGACAATGGTGCGTTTCTTACTTCATGCTGCCCCTCCGAGTCGGAAAAAATCGCCTTTTGTTGGTAGGTTATCTCGGTTTTCGCTAACACATTGCGTGTTCTGCGGTTTCTTTTCTTCCTTTTTTTCTCCGCAGGGTAGGAAGTTGTGGTGCCTTTTCGTGATCGCGCTCCTACTATGTGCGTCCATCCACGCCGCCGACGCGAAGAAAAAGAAAAAGGTAGTAGTGGAGGAAGAGGAGGCAGCTGACGAGGGAAGCGCCGCGGCTGAGCAGAGCGACGAGGGAGACGCAGAAGAGAAAACGACCTCCAAAGCTTCCAAATCCGACGCTGAAGCGTCAGAGGATGAAGACGCAGAGCCGCCTGCGAAACCCTTAAAGTCGTCGAAAAAAGCCAGCAAGCTCAAGAAGGCAGCGGAGGAGGACGAGGGGGAGGAGAAGGAGGAAGCAGCAGCAGACGCCGACGAGGCTGATGCCCCTGCTCCGAAAAGGGTAAAGTCTGCAAAGAAAGCGAGCGACGACGAAGAGGAGGACGCAGACGCTGCACCTGTCGCTAAGAAAAAGGCTGCAGCGGACGACGAGGAAGCTTCCGCGGAAACGGAGGACGAAGAGGAAGCTCCTGCGGCGAAAAAGAAGCCTGCAGCAAAAAAGAAGGCTGCAGCCGCGGAGGAGGAAGGTGGGGAAGATGAATCAGCCGAGGAGGAGGATAAGCCGAGCATGGCCGCTGCAGCTAAGGCCGCCAGCGCGAAGGAAGCGGCTACAGAAGAGGACGAGGAAGCAGAGAGCGAGAAGGTAACGGCGACTGAAGCCGATGAGGAGAAACCCGCTGGTGCGAAAGCTGCGAAGGGCGGCGTCGCGGCTGTTTCTAAGGAGCCGCCTATGGAGTCGCCGAAAGTCCCAGTCTCGGCGTGGAAGTCGAAAAACCAGACGCGCGACGACATTGATCCGCAAGGTTTGCATTCGAAATTGCGTCGACGCGACCTCATTGATACTCAACTCGTCCGTTAGATCCTTTGTAGCAAGATCGTACGGCCGACACGGTAGGATTCTAACTAGAAAGATTTTCCTTTTTCGCGATTCAGGTGCTTGCAAGCGGGACATCACGCTTCACTGCCAGGGGATTACGCCCGGCGAGGCTCAGCTGTCGCTGTGCCTCGTCTTCCACATCAAGAACGAGAAGGCTGGCAACGAAGTCGCCAGTAAGCTCCGCACGCGAATCAATCTCCGTTGTTACAATCTCTTTCGGACCATCGTTTCAAAACACCATCCGTTTCGCGATTCGGAGCGTAGGATTTCGAGAACGGATTTCCGCCGTGTTGTCTATCGTAAACCGTTCATTTGCCTGGTGCTCCACCTCTCGTGCGGTTGGCAGCGATCATGGTGTCCAAGAAGTGCCGAGCGGAGATCCGGCAGTTCCGCTCCGACATGTACAGGGACCTCTCAATGGACAAGGCAATGTGTGCGTTTCCCTATCCTAAACTTCTCTCGCGCCTGTGAAGGATGAACAACCGCTACCTCCCTGTCCAAAATCACGCTCAACCTTTGTTTCGCAACGTTGAATCTCTGCTTGCCTTTCATTTCTATCTATGGCTCCCTCGTGTCCTGATGCCTGTATTTGAGCGGCTTTGGGCCCCGGTTCGTTGCGTGGCTGGCTGGCTGGCAGCGACGGCGTGCAAGGCGGACATCACCAAGTTCTGCGACGACGACTTCCTCTATCCCGAACCCGGCAACATCATTGCTTGCCTCAGGTACGCGAACGCTCTTGCGCAGACAGGCAAATGCGCAGCCGTTTTCTGTTTCCAGACAAACGCACAGTCGAGTATGCTGACATGTGCACGAAAACGATGGGTATTCTTTTTCTCGCATGCTTTTTCTCCATTTATTTTGTATACCATCGAACCAGTTGTATGCGGACGTGTAACCCGATGCTATTAATGGAAAATGATTGTCAACTCAACGAGAAAAAATGTTCTGAAATGGTGTTCAGGGAGGTGAAGCAGGTGGAGAAGCTGCAGGACGCGTGTCTGGCGGAGGTGCTGCGGCACCAGATGGAGGCGGCGGACGACTTCGTGATGGACCCGCAGCTCCGCGAGCTCTGCAGCGGCGAGGCTGACCGCCTCTGCAAGGGCGTCGAGCCCGGGGAAGGCCGCATTCAGAACTGCTTGGTTAGTGTGTCTCACACGGAGGGAGTCTATCTCTTAGGCACCTTAGGATTAGCGAGGGCGTGAAGCAGGGTAAAGGACGCATTCAGAACTGCCTGGTCAGTGTGTCACATAGGGAGACTAGTTTTTAGACGCCTGAGAAGTACCGTGGGCGTGTATTCCGGCTAAGGCCGTATTCAGAACTGCCTGGTCTGTGCGTCACAGACACAGGGAGCCTTAGGCACCTTAGACATTGTGAGGCCGCGTTCAGACAGGGAGACGGACGGACAGGCAGACGGGGAGACGGACGTTTAGACGAGGCAGAAGGACAGGTAGGTGGACAGGCAGACGTGGGAGACGGAGATTTAGACGGATAGGCAGAAGGACAGGTAGATGGACAGCTAGACGTGGGAGACGGACATTTTGACGGATATGCAGGACAGATAGATGGACAAGCAGACGGACAGAGGCGACCAGGCAGACGGACAGTCAGACGGATATGTAGACGGACAGACAGGCTGGCAGACGGAAAGACGGACGGACAGACTGTTACAAGTCCACAGACGGACAGAAAGATAGCTGTTTGTCAGTGAGTGGCGATGATTTCTTTCTTTGAAGGTGCTGATTGTGGGGCTGTGGTGGTGTGGTGGGGTTGCGCTGTGACGCAGAGGGAGCACCGTGCGAAGCTGGCGTGGGATTGCCAGGCGGAGCTGTTCCGGCAGGAGGTGGAGAACGCCGATGACATCCGTCTAAACGTTCGCCTCTTCCAAGGTCAGGCTTCCCTCCTACCCGCCAGGTGCGCCTTCCTCCAACGGGGCCTTCCCCCATCAGGTAAACCTTCCCCCAGCAGGTAAGCCTTCCCCCAGCAGGTAAGCCTTCCCCCATCAGGTAAGCCTTCCCCCAGCAGGACAGCCTTCCCCCAGCAGGTAAGCCTTCCCCCAGCAGGAAAGCCTTCCCCCAGCAGGTAAGCCTTCCCCCAGCAGGAAAGCCTTCCGCCAGCAGGTAAGCCTTCCCCCAGCAGGAAAGCCTTTCCCCAGCAGGTAAGCCTTCCCCCAGCAGGTAAGCCTTCCCCCAGCAGGAAAGCCTTTCCCCAGCAGGTAAGCCTTCCCTTCCCCCAGCAGATAAGCCTTCCCCCAGCAGGTAAGCCTTCCCCCAGCAGGTAAGCCTTCCCCCAGCAGGTAAGCCTTCCCACCTTCCAGATACGCCTTGTCACCACAGGTATGGCTTCCTACCCAGCTGGTACGGGTTACAGAATGAGCAATCATGGCTTCCCCACCCAGCAGATACGCATTTGAAATGGAGCAATCATGGCTTTCCACCCAGCAGATACGGGTTCCCAACCATCATTTACAGCTTTCCCTGTCTGAACGTATTTCTTCTTCCCCCCGTACGCGTCTTCCTACTCGTTCCCTTTTTACATTCTTCGGTGCTATTTTTCCACAATTTTACTCCCCCTTCCCTCCCCCCTACCCCCTCCCGACTTTCCTCACCAGCGTGTGCAGCGTGTTTGAACGCCAGTGCAAGTTCTGTTCTGTGCGGATGTGAAGTATGGGGACGCGCGTATGAAGGACTGCTGTTCGAGGCGCCTAAAACGATTTCCTTTTCCCTCCCTCCCTTTCCGCGCCCCCTTCCCTGCGTGCACAGCGTGCCTGAACGACCAGCGCAAGTTCTGTGCAGATGTGAAGTATGGAGATGCGCGTGTGAAGGACTGCCTGGAGGACCATCGCCTCGACGACGAGTTCTCCCCTGGCTGGTACGCCTCTCGCTCCCGGAGGGGCGACTGAGGAAGTTTCGTGTGCACAGATCCGGCTTATCCAATGAATCCTTGCTGCGTATCTCTGACTGGATCCCTTGTGCTTGTCATGCTTCTTATAGAATCTGGTCACCTTTGCCCCACCCTCCCTGATGCTTTTTTTTTTTCCCGGGCAGCAAGACGGAGTTTGAGAAGATGATGGCGCGGAGGGCGACGGACTTCAGGCTGGACTCGCGCCTGCGCAAGTACTGCAAGGGCGACATTGCCGAGGTGCGAGGGTGGGGGGTGGGACAGTGTGTGTAGAGGTGCAAGGGTTGAGGGCGACGGACTTCAGGCTGGACTTGCGCCTGCGCAAGTACTGCAAGGGCGATATTGCCGAGGTGCGTGCGTTGGGGCATGGCAGAGGTGGTGGGATGGGGTTTGCAGAGGTGCGTGCGTGCGTGTGTGGGGTGGGAGTGCAGAGCAGAGGTGCGTGGGTGGGTGGGGTAAGAGTGTAAAGGTGTATGCTATGCAAGAGAAAAAATTGCACAAGTGCATGCAAAGGGGGGCAGTGCCCAGTTTTGTGTCATGGTGGGGGTGCTAGAGGTGCGTGCAAGAGGAGCATTGCAGAGGTGCGTGGGTGGGGGGGCATGGCATACACCTCTCCCCTCTCCCCTCTCCTCTCTCCCCTCTCCCCTCTCCCCTCTCCCCTCTCCCCCCTCCCACTCCTTCACCCCCCCCCCCCTCCCCTCCCTCCCTTTTCCCCCACCTCTCCCTGCAGATCTGCTTCCCGGATGCGGAGGACATATCGGACGTGGCAAACTAAGATGCCTTGTCTCCCTCTCCCTCGTGAAAGAAGGAGTGTTTTGAGACGTCTCAAAACACTCCTTCTTTCACAAACTAAGACGCCTTGTCTCCCTCTCCCTCACACGCTTCCTCTTCCCCCATGCCCCCAATCCACCCACTCCCCCACAGATCTGCTACCCGGATGCGGAGGACATATCAGACGTGGCGAACTACGACGCCAAGGTGATCCAGTGTCTGCAGGACTACCGAGACGAGCTCAAGGACCCCAAGTGCAAGGCGCAGGTGCACAAGCTCACCGAGAGGGAGATCGACATCCGCTTCAACAAGCCGCTCGCCGACGCCTGCCAAGGTAATCCCGTGCTGCTCGCCTGCCAAGGTGAGTCAGGAAGGCATTGCGGCGCCTGCCCTCTCTGACTGTTGCATTGCCATTTCTTATTGTTTCCCCCCGTTTTGTATCAAATTCACGTCCTAAACTGCTGGTTTCCTTCAACTCCACACCCCCACACCCCCATCCCACAACGCACAGCAAATAGCACGACGGTGTGCCAAGACGCGTCGAACGGGTGGTTGTTGTTGTTTCATGTGTCTTCTCAGATCTGCCTCACAGCACGTGCTTCAATCAACCCCTCTCCCACGTCCCCAGACCCCCATACCTCGACGCCCATATCCCCATACCTCCACGCCCATACCCCCATCCCTCCACGCCCATGCCCCCGACCCCCCACGCCCATACCCCCATCCCTCCACGCCCATGCCCCCAACCCCCCACGCCCATACCGCCATCCCTCCACGCCCAGCTGATCGCACAACGGTGTGCAAGGATGCACCGGACGGGCAGGCGTCGGTGTTCATGTGCCTGCAGGACCACATGCCGCAGCTCAAGGAGGCCTGCCGCAACTCTGTCTTCGAGCAGGTGAGGACTGCACCACATTCACAGGGCTTGCGATTGCGAAAGAGCAGACCAGCAGGACCGCGTCTCCTTCCAGCTAATGGAGGCGTTCTGCAACTCCGTGTTTGAGCAGATACAGCCGTGCCTCATGCAATTACTCATCATCATGCTCCTTTGCACCATATGAGGTGACGTCTGCGTCAATCCACCTACCTACTTTTCACCTCTTCACACCTCACTCGACCCGCTCTCCCTTCCACTCTGTCAGCTCGTGCGCATGGCAAAGGTCATTGACTTCAAGTCAGTGATAAGCATTCATTCACCTGTCGTTCACCCCTTTACACCGCGCCCCAACCCCCCCAGTTGGTGCGCATGGCGGATGACATAGACTTCAAGTTCCCCATGAAGAAGGCGTGCCAGTCGGAGATTGGCAGAGGAGATTGACTTGCATTCATTCACCCCTTCACACTCCTCTCCACCGCGTCGAACTCCAACCCCCCTCCCCCCCCAGTTGGTGCGCATGGCGGAGGACATAGACTTCAAGTTCCCCATGAAGAAGGCGTGCCAGTCGGAGCTCGACAAGTTCTGCAAGGACGTGCCCCACGGTGAGTCATGCCCACCCAGCTCGCCGGGAGTTCTGAGACGGCTTAAAACTCCAGAGCCTGCCAGTCGGAGCTCGACAAGTTCTGCAAGGACGTGCCCCACAGTGAGTTGTGCCCCACAGTGAGTTGTGCCCCACAGTGAGTTGTGCCCCACAGTGAGTTGTGCCCCACAGTGAGTTGTGCCCCACAGTGAGTTGTGCCCCACAGTGAGTTGTGCCCCACAGTGAGTTGTGCCCCACAGTGAGTTGTGCCCGCTGCAAGATTGCAGTGAGCTGTGCTTGAACTCGCGAATAGCTGTTTTCAAACTCATGCTGATTTTCTGAGGTAATCCGCCCAGTCCTCCCCACCCATTCTCTCTCCATCCTTCACACCCTCCCTAACGCCCTCCCTCACACCCTCTCTCACACCATCGCTCACACCCTGCCTTCCTCCCTCCTTCGGATGTTCACCCGTCGCCCGCAGACCATGCCTCATGCTTCAAGTGTCTGCATGACCACGTTCCCCCCTGTTGTTGCAGCAGGCGATGTTTTATAATTCTCCAAACACGCCTGTCTTCCTCCCATGTTCACTCAGTTCACTCCCAATGCCACCCTGACCCTACGTCCATTGCTCTTCCTCATCACACCCTCCCTCCCTGACCTTCCCCCACTCTCTCCCTTCCCCCGATTGCATTCATCACCCGCCCGCCCGCAGAGCATGCATCGCGCATCAAGTGTCCGCAGGGCCACATCTCCTCCTCTCTTCTTTACACCCCCATATCTACCCCGTGCTTGACTCACACTCCTTCCTGCCTCCCTATACTGCCCATGAGCTCATCACCCGCCACCAGGCCATGCATCGCGCATCAAGTGTCTGCAGGACCACATTGCTTCCTTTAATCCTCTTCTCCCTGCCCATGTTCACTCTCCTTCACCACCCTGCCCCCCATGCGCCCATCACCCGCCACCAGGCCATGCATCACGCATCAAGTGTCTGCAGGACCACACATCCTCCTTTGCTCTTCCTCTCACGCCCTCACTCACCGTCCATCACTCTCCCTCCCTGTCCCCCCATGCGCTCATCACCCGCCCTCAGGCCACGCATCGCGCATCAAGTGTCTGCAGGACCACATTGACGACGCTGATTTCGGAGAGGCGTGTCGCAAGGAGGTGCAATCGGACCTCGTGCGATCGGCACAAGGTGAGGGCTCACTGGGATATGCATGATGGTGCTTGAGAATGGCATGCACACTCAGTCATGTTCACAAAACGACTTTGGGGAGGCGTGCCGCAAGGAGGCCCAATCTGGCCTCGTGCGATTGGCGCAAGGTGAGCACTTCCTCCTCTGCTTCTCATCCTCTTTCTTTCACACATGCCTCTTAATCGCCTCTCCCTCCACCATCGTTCCTGTCCCCCCGTCCCTATCTCCCCATGAGGCGTATCTCCCCCCCCCTCCCCAACATTCTGAAACCACTGCTTCCACCAACCACAACCCCGCCCATTCCTCCTCGTCCCTCCCCCAGACTACTGGCTGAACTACCGGCTGCACAAGGCGTGTCTGCCGGACATCCAGCAGCAGTGCCTGCATGCGTTCACTGCACCTGCCTGCACTCACCTGTTACGCTATTACCCTAACCACCCCGGCTTCCCCCTTTCTCTCCTTCCAGACTACCGGCTGAACTACCGGCTGCACAAGGCATGTCTGCCGGACATCCAGCAGCAGTGCCTGCACGCGTGCGACGCCGCATCAGCCAACGGCACGGCCACGTGCGGCGGCATGGTGCTGCGCTGCCTGCAGGACAACAAGGCCAAGCTGCAATCGCCCTCCTGCGCCCAGGAGGTCGACTCCTTCAGCGTGATTCAGTCCAAGGACCCCCTGTCCTTGGATGTGCCGCTGCAGAAGGCGTGTCAGGGGGATCTGGTCAAGCTGTGCCCGGATGTGAGCCGGGACCACGCTCGCACGCTCTCGTGCCTGCGGACCAAGAGGGAGAAGCTGTCGACATCGTGCCGGGAGGAGGAGATGCGATTCAGCATCATGGAGGTGGGTGCTGGGTGGTTCTGTGCGGTGACTGGGTGTGTGGAGGTGTGGGTATGAGTGTCGTACTGCGTCTCCCAGTGAGTGCCTGAGGATTTGGAAGCAGAAGATGTTGATGCCGTGTCGGGAGGAGGAGATGCGCTTTGGCATCATGGTGTGGGTGTGGAATCTGGATGGTGGCAGGTTTTCTCTATTCGTTCAAGCGTTGTTGCTCTGGTGGACTTACTCATTGTTCTTCCCCTCTTTCTTCCCGTCCCCTTCTCCTTCCCCTTTCCATCTCTTTCCCCGTCCGTTTTGTTGCTTCTTGTGCCAGGCATCGGACATTCGCCTCACACCGTCACTCATGAACGCATGCGGCCAAGGTGAGACCCTGCCGCCCTGGTACAAACCATCCTGCCTGCAATCGGCCTGTTTGGCAGGCAAGCCATGCACTCACCGCATGCATGTGCTCACTGCATGCATGCGCTCACCGCATGCATGCGCTCACTGCATGCATGCACTCACTGCATGCATGCGCTCACTGCATGCATGCGCTCACTGCATGCATGCGCTCACTGCATGCATGCGCTCACTGCATGCATGCACTCACTGCATGCATGCACTCACTGCATGCATGCGCTCACTGCATGCATGCGCTCACTGCATGCATGCGCTCACTGCATGCATGCGCTCACTGCATGCATGCGCTCACTGCATGCATGCACTCACTGCATGCATGCGCTCACTGCACCACCTGCTCCTTCCACGTTCACACCAACTCCTCCTGTCCTTCGGGTCTTGGCTGCTCCATTCTCCAGCTCCCTTCACCCCGTCCTATTCACAGAGCTGCAGAGCCTGTTGAGCCGCGTGCGTGTCCCCTCACACAACCTGTCCCGCTCAACCCCCCTCCACTCTTTCAAGTCGACTCAAAAGTCGTGCGTGTCCCCTCACAGAACCTGTTCCCCTCAACCCCCCTCCACTCTTACTTACTTTTTGCTTCTCCTCTCCCCCACACACACACCTGGTCCCCCCACACACAGAGCTGCAGAGCCTGTGCCGCGATGCACCTGCCTGGTTTTTGAGAATTCTCAAAAACCCCGTGTAGTGAGGTGTATTTTGAGGCGCCTCAAAATACACCTCACTACACGCGGATTTCATACGGAGAGAAAAACCAGCTGCAGAGCCTGTGCCGCGATGCACCTGCCACGGAGGGAGGCGTTCAAGTGTCTGCAGGAGCCCCTCTCCCCATCCCTTCTCACACCCCTTCCCTTCCCCATCCCCGTCCTTTTTTGCCCTGATTTTTGTCCCCCTCTCCCTCGTCTCCTCTCCATCCACAGAGCTGCAGAGTCTGTGCCGTGACGCGCCCCCCACGGAGGGGCAGGCGTTCAAGTGTCTGCAGGAGCACCTGCAGGACGTGGGCATGGGCGCGGCGTGCAAGGGCGAGGTGAACCTGCAGGAGGCGCGGCACGCCTCCAACTACCGCCTGGACGTGCGCGTGCGCAAGGAGTGCGAGGACGACGTCACCAAGTTCTGCAACGGCGTGGACGCGGGGCAGGAGGGCCATGCGCTCGTGCTCAAGTGCATGGTCGGCAGCTTCAAGAGCCTCTCCTCCTCCTGCCAGTCCGAGGTGCGTGCCTCTGTGTGTGGGGGGAGGGGGGAGGGGGGGATGGAAGTCAAGGGCGAGGCGAGACTGTGATGCCATTGGATGTACGTGCTGAATAGGGAGAGCAAGGCGAGCCTAGTGCTCGTGACCCTCAACGGTGTCGACGCGGGGCAGGAGGGGCATGCGCTCGTGCTCAAGTGCATGGTCGGCAGCTTTAAGAGCCTCTCTGCGTCCTGCCAGTCTGAGGTGCGTTCCTCTGTGTGTATGTGCGTCCCTCTGTGTGTATGTGCGTCCCTCTGTGTATGTGCGTCCCTCTGTGTGTATGTGCGTCCCTCTGTGTGTATGTGCGTCCCTCTGTGTGTATGTGCGTTCCTCTGTGTGTATGTGCGTTCCTCTGTGTGTATGTGCGTCCCTCTGTGTGTATGTGCGTCCCTCTGTGTTTATGTGCGTCCCTCTGTGTGTATGTGCGTCCCTCTGTGTGTATGTGCGTCCCTCTGTGTGTATGTGCGTCCCTCTGTGTGTATGTGCGTCCCTCTGTGTGTATGTGCGTCCCTCTGTGTGTATGTGCGTCCCTCTGAGTGCAGGTGCGTCCCTCTGTGTGCAGGTGCGTCCCTCTGTGTGCATGTGGAGGGGAAAAGGTGGGTGGAAGGGAAATGTTGGGTGAGCTCAACCCAAATCGCCACCTCTTTCCTTCCCCTCCCCTTCCAGATGTCCTATGCGGTGCGCATGGCATGGCTCCCGTCCATTACCACAAAGCGTATCACTGTGCTGTTAGAGGGCATGGGAACCCATACTTCTTCCTGTTGCTCATCCCCCCCCTCCATCTCTCTACATCTTCCACCCCCCTCCTCCACTTTCAGGTGTCCTATGCGGTGCGCATGGCCCTCTTCCAGTACCACAAGGGAGCAGCACTCACGCAGCCGTGCGACACAGCAGTAGAAGAGCTCTGCAACACCGGCAGTGCCGCTGCTGCCACCACGCCCGTCAAAGAGATCAACGGCGCTGTCATCGGTGTGTACGGGCAGTGCCTCGTGTCGCAGAAGCGCCAGCGCCTGCCGGAGGAGTGTCGCACGCTGGTGAAGCTGGTGGCCAAGGAGGGCGCGTATGTGGGCGGCACCGTGGACCAGAACAAGCTTGAGGAGACACTCATGAAGCTCAAGGCGGTGAGGCCCCTGGGTGCATGGGATGGGATGCAGTGCGGTGGAATGGGGTGTGATTGATGTGTATGTATGTGTGGGTGCGGTGCGGTCTGGGCCTGGGTGCGGTGGGTTGCAGTGGGACGGGATGAAGTGAACCGTGGTGTGATGGGCGCGTATGTGGGCGGCACTGTGGACCCCAACAAGCTCGAACAGACCCTCATGAAGCTCAAGGCAGTAAGGGCTGAGACTCTTGGGAGCATGGGGTGGGATGTAGTACAGTGGGGTGTGGTGCGGTGAAAATTGGTGGTGTGATGGGCGTGTACGGGCAGTGCCTGGTGTTGCAGAAGCGCTGTCAGCCACAGGTTCACGAAATCACTTTTGAGAATTCTCAAAAATAATTTCAACATCGTAGAGAATTCTCAGAAGTAATTTCAACATCGTAGAGAATTCTCAAAAGTGATTTCAACATCGCAGAGAATTCTCAAAAGTGATTTCAACATCGCAGAAGCGCTGTGAACTACAGGTTCTTGAGCCCCACTGTTCCAATCACTAAACACCATCACCACCCACCAATCCGCCACTCTTACCCATCCCCTTCCTCTTCCAAGCAGCTACAGGAGGCAGCAGCAGCGGCAACAACAGCAGACGGCGGGAGAATCGTTGCTCACGACACAGGGCTCGTCATTTCCGGCTGGCTGGCTGCTGCTGCTCTCGCAGCCGTGGTCATTGTCGCCATTGCCATCGGCTGTGCCGTTTACCACAGGCTCTTCAGCCCGGATGCCCTGAACTCTGCCAATCACTAAACACCAACACGTCCCTGCCTCCTGCTCCTTTTCATGTGCTCCCCTCCCTCCCCTCCCCTCCCCTTTCCCTCTCCAAGCAGCTACAGGAGGCTGCAACAGCAGCGACAACAGCAGACGGTGGGAGGGTGGTCCCTCACGACACAGGCCTCGTGATTTCCGGCTGGCTGGCTGCTGCTGCCCTCGCAGCCGTGGTCATTGTCGCCATTGCTATCAGCTGTGCTGTCTACTACAGGTTCTTTAGCCCCACTCGCAACTACACTCTGGTTGTTAAGTCCGCTCCTGGTGCTGTTGGGGTGTAGCTTTGAGTACCTTTGAGCTGACTTAGTCGCATCAGCTGTACCGACTACACAGGTCTTCAGACCCATGCCATGCACTCTTACACTCTGGTTGTCAAGTCCGCCCCTGCAGCTTTTGGGTGTAGAGTTGAGCCAACCCAATACGGGATCACTGGGCGTGGTGTTTTTCTGTTTGCTTTGAACCGAGACAGTATCGTGGGCTGTGCAGTACCGGATAGCAACCAGAAGGATCAAGAGTTTCAGTTGCATACTTGCTCGCTGCTGCACGCTGCCATAGCTCATCCGTGCAATTGTACTAGGAATAATTCAGTCAGCTTTGTTACAAGGTAACAAACAGGGCAAACCCAACACCTAGCATAAAACCTAGCAGCCTTTTACTAGAGATTGTTACATACATTTGATTTCTGCTTTCTACATTTTATAGCCATCAAAGAAACAAGCACTAGCCCTAGAAACACACGAGGGAGGGATGGGTGGGGGCATTGCACTCAGAAGGGAGGGTGAGTGGGAGCATTGCACCTTGCATGGCATGAGATACAACAGAAGGGAGGACAAGGGCTCTGCCTGCACCGTGCATGGCATGAGATATGCCATCATCTCTCACTCATCTGCTCTCACGCGTCTCCATCCTTCCAGTGGTTCAAATAGTCCATCCAATCACACGAGATCTGCCCGGGCATGCACGCCTCCCGCCTCGGATCCTTCACCTCGAAATCCCAAAACGCCGCCGGCGCGTTCTGGGCTTTAAGCTTCCTCATGCGGAACTCAATCTCCGCCTTGTGAATGTTCCGCAACCAGCAGTGCTCCTGCAGGCCCTCTGCCATCTCATCATGCATCTTCCACCACCTTTGATGCGCTGCTTCATTAGCATAAGCATGGTCATATGGGTACAGCCATGTGCAGTCAAAGTCGCGGTAGCACTGCCAGGGCTTGCGGCCGAGGTAGTGGATGGTGTGGATCTCAGCTGGCTCCTCTGAGAACCACCGGTTCTTCATTTCCAGCTCGAGAGATCTGCGGGGTTCTTCGGTTGCCCACACGTGTTTGAGAATGTTGACCGAGTCAGGCAGGCGGTGCCACCACGTGAAGTAATTGTTCAGGTAGCCCTGGGAAGATGGGAAGCGGGGGAGGAATGGGGAGAACCGGAATGGGTGGGATGGGTGAACAGGTGAGGGGTAGTGAATGGTGTGGATCTCTGCCGGCTCCTCTGAGAACCACCGGCTCTTCATTTCCAGCTCGCGAGATCTGCAGGGTTCTTCGGTTGCCCGCACGTGTTTGAGAATGTTGACCAAGTCAGGCAGGCAGTGCCACCACGTGAAGTAGTTGTTCAGGTAGCCCTGAGGGATTAAGAAGGGTGGGGATGGGTGAACATTGGAGAGATAGTGCTGGGAATCAAGATGTGTGGATTTCAGCAGGTTCCTCTGAGAACCACCTCTTCTTCACTTCCAGCTCGCGGGATCTAAAGAGCTCCTCTGTGGCCCACACGTGCTTCAGAATGTTGACTGAGTCGGGCAGGCGGTTCCACCACGTGAAGTAGTTGTTCAGGTAGCCCTGAGTGGTTGAGAGGGGTGGGGATAGGTGAATGAGAGGACAAGAAAGTGGGCGACGACAAACAGTCCTTAAGCACCTACCCATCCCCAACCATTCCAATCCATGCACCCATATACCCAAGCCCAAGTGCGTGATAAGAGTGATTAGAGTGAAGTTTTGAGACGTCTCAAAGCATGCACCCATACACCCAAGCCCAAGTGCGTGATAAGAGTGATTAGAGTGAAGTTTTGAGACGTCTCAAAGCATGCACCCATATACCCAAGCCCAAGTGCGTGATAAGAGTGATTAGAGTGAAGTTTTGAGACGTCTCAAAGCATGCACCCATATACCCAAGCCCAAGTGCGTGAAAAGAGTGATTAGAGTGAAGTGCTGAGACGTCTCAAAGCATGCACCCATATACCCAAGCCCAAGTGCGTGATAAGAGTGATAAGAGTGAAGTTTTGAGACTTCTCAAAGTATGCACCCATATACCCAAGCCCAAGTGCGTGATAAGAGTGATTAGAGTGAAGTTTTGAGACGTCTCAAAGCATGCACCCATATACCCAAGCCCAAGTGCGTGATAAGAGTGATTAGAGTGAAGTTTTGAGACGTCTCAAAGCATGCACCCATATACCCAAGCCCAAGTGCGTGATAAGAGTGATTAGAGTGAAGTTTTGAGACGTCTCAAAGCATGCACCCATATACCCAAGCCCAAGTGCGTGATAAGAGTGATTAGAGTGAAGTTTTGAGACGTCTCAAAGCATGCACCCATATACCCAAGCCCAAGTGCGTGAAAAGAGTGATTAGAGTGAAGTGCTGAGACGTCTCAAAGCATGCACCCATATACCCAAGCCCAAGTGCGTGATAAGAGTGATTAGAGTGAAGTTTTGAGACGTCTCAAAGTATGCACCCATATACCCAAGCCCAAGTGCGTGATAAGAGTGATTAGAGTGAAGTTTTGAGACGTCTCAAAGCATGCACCCATATACCCAAGCCCAAGTGCGTGATAAGAGTGATAAGAGTGAAGTTTTGAGACGTCTCAAAGCATGCACCCATATACCCAAGCCCAAGTGCGTGATAAGAGTGATTAGAGTGAAGTTTTGAGACGTCTCAAAGCATGCACCCATATACCCAAGCCCAAGTGCGTGATAAGAGTGATAAGAGTGAAATTTTGAGACGTCTCAAAGCATGCACCCATATACCCAAGCCCAAGTGCGTGCATCCGTGTTCCCACCTGATCGCCCCCGTTGGGCGAGCGGATGGTGTGCACGTTGGCGAGGAGCTCGCGGAAGGTGCAGTGGGAGGGGCGCAGCAGCATGAGGCCCGAGTTGAAGTCCGTCTGGTCGTTGCCTCGCGCCGCCACGTCGGGGAAGGCGAAGAGGTGGTCGAGATTGCGCAGCACCAGCAGATCCGCGTCCACGAATACCACCGCTGAGTACTCTGTCAGCTGCCACAAGCGCAGCTTGCTGGTGTCATGAGGAGAGGGGGAGGGGGAAGAGGGTGAAGGGTGTGGAAGGGAGGAAGCAGATTGCACAGCACCAGCAGATCTGCATCCACAAACACCACCGATGAGTACTCCACAAGCTGCCACAGCCGCAGGTTGCTGGAAGCATAGGGGAGGGACAAGGGGGAGAGAAAGGAGAAAGGAGAGACGGAGAGGTGTTGGTACTCTGTCAGTGGCCACGGCGGCAGATTGCACAGCACCAGCACCAGCAGATCCACGTCCGCGAACAGCACCCTTGAGATTGTCGCAGAGATGGTCGCAGAGATGGTCGCAGATCGGCGTCCGCGAACACCACCAATGACTACTCTGTCAGCTGCCACAGCCGCAGCTTGCTGCCATTGGGGGGATGGTGGGAAGGGAGGAACGAGAGGAGAGGTGGGGAGTGGGGCAAGGGGAGCACTCCGTCAGCTGTCATGGCTGCAGCTTCCTGGCAGCAGGAAACGGAACGTGGTGGGGGGAGGGGAGAAGAAAGAGAGAAAAAAAAGAGGCGGGGGTGAGGGGGACAAGGGGAGCACTCCGTCAGCTGTCACAGCCGCAGCTTCCTGCCACAGCTGTAGCTTGCTGACGGCAGGGAGGGGGAGGGAGAAGGGTGTCAGGGAAGTGATAGGAGGTGGAGACCCCTCTTGTTCCACTTGTTATAAATGCTTTTCCAAGTGCACTCAAAGGTCACCTCGTTACAAGGTCACACACTGCAGTGCACACACACCTGTAGTTCCACTCGTTATAAGTTTTCTCCTGCGCGAACGGGTTTCGGATCCGCTCAATCTCCTTGACGATCCACCCAGCCTCCCCGAGCGCGTCGCGGCTGCGGTTACTGATTTCACGCGACACCAGCGCCACCATGTCGTGCCGGCTGCCGCTGCGCCGAATGCTGTGCCCCAGCACGATCGCGCCGCACACGTAGAACTCGGAGGTGTGCAGAACGGTGGCGTACGCCACTGTGCCTATAGCGGGCGGATCTGGCAGCGGAAGTGGGGGAGTGGGGGAAGGGCGAGGGGAAGAACAATAGTATTGACACGGGCGGGGGACGGGCAAGAGAGAAGAAAGATCAATATTGCGTGAAGGCAAAAGGAGGAGCCTCCTGAGGAGAGACATAGAAAAAAGGTTAAGTGCCTCTCAAGGCACTTGATCCAAAGCCCACCCTTCTTTACCTTGTCTGGTTGGCTGAGCCATTCCGCAGGACCCCAGCGGCTGAATATTCGGTGCCACGTCAGCAGCGGACATGTTGAAGAGCCACGCGGACCCCTCGTTGCGGACCAATCGGCTGCAGTGGAAGAGATTCGGCGGCGGGCGACAAGGGGAGATGAGCAGCAGCGGCAGCCATGGCTTGTTGACCTGCCTCGGGGGAAGACAGGCGGAGACACAGTGCGGAGAGACAGAGCGGAGAGACAGCGGAGAGACAGAGCGGAGAGACAGAGAGGAGAGACAGAGCGGAGAGGCAGAGCGGAGAGACAGAGCGGAGAGACAGCGGAGAGACAGAGCGGAGAGACAGAGCGGCGAGACAGAAGTGAGGGACAGCAAGCACGGGTGAAATCTACACTTTCTTCGTCTTCAGGAAAACTCAGTCACAATCGAAGACACTAAATAAATCAATGAGTAAAGAAGACAAGCATGTTTTCAGCTCACGGTTTTCTTGACCTTGTCTATGAGGGATTACTCGCGTATTTTCAGCTCATGGTTGCGCTAAGGATATTATAAGGGATTACTCGCGTACTGCTTACCTTTGTAACCATCTCCGCGAGCAGAAGCATCTGATGCATCCAGCGAATATCTTTCGCCAACATGTCGCTCGGCTTGTCGCACGGGACGCGTGCGACAATCGCATCCACGTCGCCCAGCCACGAGGGCGTTTCAGGCTGCGGAATTTCCGGGCAGGACGTCGGCAGCGATTGGTTGACCCATTCAGGATAGGCGTCCTTCCATTGGAGATGATCCGGTACGGCCGTTACAGGTACTGAAAGGAACTCATACGGATACGCGTACGATCGCAAGCTGGTACCGTCATCCAGATTAAGGGACGCGATGCGTCGTAATTTCAGTCCGTGCTGACGGTCCCAGGAACTAAGTATCGAGAGCGCGTGCCGTCCGTCGATACCCGGAGAGGAAACCAACGGTCGGATGGGAAGGATATCTAGGAGGATCGAACGGCACATGGTGGTGCTGCACCCTTTGCATAAGACAAGGGCGACCAGCGCCGCCAGCAGAATCAGAAACAGCCGAGACTTGCGCTTCCCGCCATTACTAACAGCACTACTCGTAGCACTGCTCACCGTGGCGTCTAGAAACGAACGGAAGACAGAGGTAGTGAATCGTGGCCTGATATTAGGAGATATCGAAGGAGACATTCTTATTCCTTTACAGGATGGAGGACTAGTAGAATTAGCAGGCCTGGTCGTAGGAGACGTGGTCGGGGTTCCATTGGCCGATCGGTTCCCAGGAGGGGACTTCATCGCTTCGTATAACATAAATCAGAAACTAGTAATCATAGATGTGGTAGCACCACCAGGAGTAGTGGTTTCTTGAATTCCTGCTGATAAGAGCAAGTACGTGTGTCTGAGTAGTGGTAAACGAGTGGCTTGTGAGGTCCAATAAACTTGTCGAACCTGATAAGGGGTCCAGGTGCTAGAGTGAACTTGCATGCTTGATGCACAAGAACAGAATCATTCTTCAAAGACTGAACAAGGAATGTCAATAAATGGCCAGGCGCTGAACTCTGGTGTGAAATATGTTAGCCCAGCGGCATTCTTTAGGAGGTGGCATTCCCCAGGGAGGGAGCAACAAGCACATGATGGAATGGCCGAATCTTGCTGGTATGGTGTGGAATGAAGTAAGAGCAAGCGAAAGCAAGCGAAACGAGCGTGTAACTTGCTGTAACTTGCGAGAGCGCTGGCGAGGAAAAGGTGGCTCTAGGAAAAGGGGAAGAGTGCAGGAACCAGAAGTGGAGGAAGCGGGGAGCAGCGGCTAGATCAGGTAAGGTAAAGCCCTAATCTAGACGTCTGGCCTAAACGGGAATGTAATATACCCCACGTGATAAGGAGGTGGCTAGAAAACAGTTCCCGACCTTTTCCGGGGTTTCGGAGGTTTGATCTGAGATTGTTGATGTTTAGATCTGTCTAGACGCCTCCAGTTGGAATTGCTATAAGATTTGCGAAGAACCTTTTTCACACCTCTCCCCTTCCTCGTGTCTCATCACTTACATGTGGTAGTGCTTCGCTGAAACTTTGCTTAGATCTTGCTTGTTAGAGGTTGTCGTAACACAGCGCAGTCGGACAGGGGTGAAATCGAAAAACAGCCTCGGAAACCCTCAACAGACTTCCGCGGCTCATATGGTAACTTGCGTGTCGCATTTTCGCCTGGGTGACGGCTGTCTGCTTGCGTCGAGTCGAGTGAATCACTTGTGAGTGTGACTCAAGCGAGGAGGCGACTCCGTTTTCCTAGCGACGAGAAGGCGCGGGAACAGTTCCAGTGAACCAACAACACCTCAGCTGAACTTTTTCAGGATTGGATGGCATGGCACTAGCACGAATCACGGGTGCGATTGTCTGCTGTGCGTCAACTTGCGCACAAGTGCTGTACAAATCGAATTCATTTGCGCTCTGGTATGTGTCAACCTCTGGTCAAAACTCCATATTGAGTTCTCCGAAGTGGGTGTCGAGAAACGAGTCATTCTAACCGAGGTTAAAAACACTTGTGGCTTACTGCCCTCCCTCAATATTGTCGCGTTCGCTAAAGCCCCTAAGACCTTCCTGGTAGGGGCAACGTGCATATCATGCGACACCGCGACAGTGACGCAGCAATCTGGGCGGTTCGACTGATAGTCAATCTGTCCATAGTCGATTCGACGGATGCTTGAGCGCCCCTCGACACTCCCCAAACTTGCCCCTCGTTCGGCCTAGTCAGCTTCAGGAATCATGAACCAGCTTCACAATTCGGCGCCTCGTATCGTATTACCCAGAACACCCCTCCCGCCCCACCCCCCCCCCCCCACTTCGTCCTGCGGCCTGCTTGCCCCCCTTGATTCATCCTTCTTCCCCTCTCATTTGCCTGCCTTTGATCAGCCATCTGTCAGCAACACCGAGATCGCCAAGCGAAGCGCCAAATCAACCTTGATAGTGTCGTAACCTAGGTTCTCCCCAAACCAACCCTCACCAACCCCTAGGTGATACGAGAGTCTCGTTTGATGCCCACAGTAACAAATTCAAAGAACCACTTGGTTCTGTCCGTCAATTGTCCTGTCAAGCGACCAAATCTTCGGTGACACTGACATGAACTACGCAAATGCGATCCGCCCCTGGCATAATCTCATCACTACGTTGTCACCGCCAGCCTAAAAGCGACCCTCTGGAAAAACCGTGCTCACAACCTCTAGTTTCCGCAACGCAGTCTCCATAGGTATAACCACCCTTTTTGTCTCTTTCAATAGGAGCCAATCCGCCATGTCGACTTCACCCACCCAGGCCGCCTCCTCTCATCCTCTCCTGCCTTCCTCTGAACCTCCTTCTGACGCCGCTATAAGCATCCTCGACAAGCTGCAACAACCAGCCACCGTTAAAAGAATCAGCCAGTTCTCGGCAAGCCACGCTGGCGAAATCACCCTCACACAGCCCCAAGCGCTCAATCTCCGCTCCCGCCGCGCACGCCGTCCCGCTCGGCGACAGTCCCGGCACCTCTTCCGTCGCATGGCTGCGCGACACGTGGCACGAGCACGCCAACCGTTCATTGTGCGCTCGCTACAAAGCTCTCCGGACTTTCAAGGCTGTCCGTCTCCCGTTGGAACCCCTGGTTCCCTGACCAATGGCGCTGCCATTTTCCTTTTCGTAGTCCTTCACTAAAGCTAGTGCCTTCGGTACTGCCGTTATCTCTGTGGAAGAAGCGGCTCGCAAGCTCCGGGAGATTTGGGTCGTTCTCCCTCTCCTTCCTCTCGCTGCTTCCTCCTCGCCGACATGCTGCGAAAGACCACATGTTACTCTTACAATCCGCGACCGTGGGAATCGAGTCCTATTTGTTTCTCTTCGCGCGAAAGCGGTACGCGCGTGGCTTGCGCGTGCCTCTCCACGTGGGAGAGGAACTCCGGAGTGCGCTTCCGCCAATGTGGCAGGTGGTCACATTGGAGGACGCGGACATCGCGCGTTTCAATGCGACCGCCGGCGGCTAATCTCCTGGCGGTTCCGTTTGCGCCGGGCCATTTAGACTGGAATCACTTATATCCAGAGTGGATTAACGAAACGTTACCAAACAGCTGCCCGTATCTGCCCGAGGCGCGATGGCAGAGCGGGCGAAAGCAGGCGGACGCGCTATTGGCTCGCGTAGAATGTCGCGAGCCGGTATCCGGATGGGCGAAAGACGTGGAGAGTGGCAGCACATGCTACCTTTCGCTGGCGAATCTCGTCGTTCAGGCAAGTGGCAGTTCGTCCAAGTCCCGGATTGTATACGTATCACATGCCTTCAGATCAACAGTCACTATTGGACAACATTGCCAACGATCCTCTCGCCTCGCGCCTCGCGGCCTCTCTCCTCTCACCTCTCCCCGCCTCCCCTGCACGCCTTCCCCTGCACACAATATTCCCCTGCCTTTCTCCCCCCTTCCCCAACTCCTTCCTTCCCCACCCACCCGCACCTCACTCAATCATGTTTTCCCATTTCGTATCACCAACCCCCACATCTGAATCTGTCAACAGGCCGATAAGCCGTGGATGCCGCTCCTCCTCATCTCCGACTGCCGGCCACCGTTAAACCTCCTGCCGTGCGACCGGCTGGTTTAAACGGGACGGGCCGGTCTGGCTGTACAACCTGACGGCAAGCGATCTTCGAACCAGGCTGCAACCGGCTGGATCATGCGCCATGGCGCAACCGACATTGACGGCCGAAGGTAAATGAAACGATCAACAAGTCCTTGAGAGTAATTAGTGGGTGACAGTAAGTCACATTATAGTTGCTAATAATCCGCGCTTATAACCTTTCGTTTCCATGCCGCTACCAGAACCGCCTGTCGTAATCGAGCAGCGTACGCGACAGTGCTGCACGCGGTACACCTATAGAGCATTGTGGGTCACTACACCTGCAATGGAGATGTGAAATGCTCCCTACAGGCGGCA